CTACTTTTAAAGAGTGGTCAAACGATGAAACCCACTACCAGCCGTAGTGGTCTAAGCGACTTCTCAAGAGTCCTTGGGGAGGACATTCGACATTTCATTAAGAACTCACCACAGTGTTTTATTATAATATACTAACATTTATCTTTTGCTAATTGAATATACTTAGGTTTCTACCTGTAGATATCGTTGGCTCACTGCTATTAGGTACAGAATCCTGTCAGATAAAAGTTCCTTCTATTTCGTCCATAACCGTTCGAATTCTTTGTTTACAACAACTAAGTTCTGGTTTGCTAACCTGTGGTTTATTAACCTCAAGGTTACGTTACTGTCCAAGCATCTGTAGATGGTGTATTTCTACCTCCTACTAATATTATCTGTCTCCTTTGGATGCCTCAAGATCCTATATGTTTATCTTATTCTTAAGCCCTTCCATATTCTATAGCAGCCTACATATTAATATGTAGTATTACATTCCCATACCTAGAATTTATTGTCATTAGACTAACTATGGTTACAGAATAACCATAGCTGCTCTATGTCTCATAGTTATGTTGGTACATCAACCTTATAGCATATGGTCAATTTTTCTCGTGAAAAGGCTACGAAACACGCTACTTTCATTTTCTAACCCACTGAGGCATAACCACCTACTAGGTACCAAGCTAATCGGCCGTGGCTTGTCCTTTCCAAATATTGCTGAAATATATTCAAGGCTTAAGTGTTAGTCTTCAACTTCTGGAGACACTCTATTTAGTTTGCCTTTCACTGGCTCAGTTCATATCTCACAAATCGACATTTTAAGGTCAGGGTAAACTTCAATTTCTCACACGCTATGGAATGTCCTAGTGGGGTCCCCCAGGGCTCAGTACTAGGACCTCTCCTCTTCCTGATTTATATAAATGATCTTACTCAACAGGTAACGTCAGACATACTGCTCTTTGCCGATGACGTGAAACTTTGGAGAGAGATACGCAACCAAGAGGACATACAGGCACTTCAGGAGGATCTGACTCGACTTCAAAGTTGGGCAGATGATAACGGACTTACCTTTAACACTTCAAAGTGTAAAGTAGTCCATCTGCGACACGTCTCAGATTACAGTTACAACTTAGGAAACTCCTCTCTAGTAGTATCCCAAGTCGAAAAAGATTTAGGAGTTCTGGTGCCCTACGACTTAAAGTCTTACGCCAACTGTGACAAAAATGCCTTTCGAGCAAACCTTGCACTGGTAACATTGAAGCGCATTTTTGGTCAGTTTGACGGGAGAACTTTCCACATAATCTTCAATAGTTTCATTCGTCCCCATTTAGAGTACGGGAACATAGTATTCCCTCCTACACTCCAAAAGGATAAGGACACTCTGGAGCGTATCCAACGGCGAGCCACGAAATCAGTTCGGGGACTCAAATTTAAACCTTACGATGAGCGCCTCCAATCACTCGACCTTTACCCATTAGAGTATAGGCGTCTTAGAGGTGACCTTCTAATGGCTTACAGTATCCTTAACACACCTAGACATCCTCTTAAACACCTACTTAAGCTTAGTCCCAACACTAACCTAAGGGGTAACACCCAGGAACTGGAGATACAACATAGTAGAACGGACTGCAGACACAATTTCTACTCCCTAAGAGTTGTCAAATGCTGGAATTCGCTGCCAGCTGAACTAGTCCAAGCAACTTCCCAGGAGTCCTTTAAGAGGCGACTTGATCTATTCTTAAGGACTAAGGATAGTATCTTACTATGATTTACCAATTCATTTTCTTTCTCTTTTATCGTTAATATACCTAGGTTCTTGCCTGGAGGTATTGGTGATCCCCTGCTACTAGACACGGAAGCCTGTTAAGCGAAAGCTTCTTCTATTCCGTCCGCAACCATTTGAACCACATTGAGCATCCTAAGCTAGAGATTTCCCTGTTATTCAGTTTGATAGTTACCACAGTGTACTAGGCACTCCTAAAGTTTTCATTCTTCATTCTTAACAAGTCAGTCTAGTCTACTATACTTCTCTGCAATAGCCTCTGTTGTATCATATAGTTATTCATATTCCCTTTTGTGTCTTGTTTTACCGTATTTGGCAAGTCATCTTCATATTTCCGTTTATCATCTCTGGTGTCGGCCTTTACTCGTTTGTTCGATTCTGTACATTGCTTTCTCTGATTTTGTTCGGCTGTTAACTGCTGTTCCCTGATCTACCATTTTGAATTGTCCCCAGACTGTCTGTGGTGATCCATTGTGCTTGTGCTTTTTGGGGCTCAGCACCTTCTGATATGTTGAAAATGTTGCTTATGCGACCAATATGGTTTTCAATAGTGTGGTCAGGTGGAACCCATGTTACATTGCTTATGAATTTCGGGGTAGAAATACCGTTACTTATGGTCATGTTGTTGACAGCATACAGACCTACCACTCACTATTCTCATTTCTTTCTTCCATTTCATGTTTCCCTTCGATGCATTTATACTCGGCGTTGTCCATTTCGACCTTAGCGTTTAGGTCCCACATCAGGATCGTCAGGTGTTTTCCTGGTTATTTCTCTAAAATGAACTGGTCTTTATCATATTTACTGCCATCATTTGTAGGTGAGTATGACTAGATGACAGTCACTACGGTCCCTTCCTTTGTTTTGAAGGATCCTCTAATAATTCTAAAGCCATGAGTCTTGAACTATGTTGGTGCTTTTGTGGTTCTTTGGACAGGATCAGTGCAACAGAGAATTTTCTCCTTCGTGACCAGAATACAGTGTTATCTCTTATTATGTTAATCTTTTCTGTCTAGACTATGTACAGTGAGTTTTCCTGTTTCAAATTCGGTCAGGTCATTTCTTTTCATTTCGCGTGCTATTTAAATGACCCTCCTAGTCTCTTATATTGTCTAGATATGTTTATCATTGTCCTGGTTGTCCACCTCTTGTCTTACAAAGGATTTTGGCTGTGACCATAAGGTTCTGTCACTCCTCTGTGTGAAGACCATTAAATTTTCAGAGTAAATTTCAACTGAAGTTTCGTTTGCTGGTGTTTTTTTTAGTGATGTTTGTGCAAATTAAGATTTCTAGCTCTACACCCAGCCTTCCCTTTTCACCCATGCTTGGTACCAACAATATTTCCATAGGAGCACCAGATTGAGTCTGCCCAGTACACAGAGTACCGCAAATTTTCTATTCTTGGTGACTAATTGTTTTATTTATGTGTCCTTATCGTTCTTTAAAATCTGAGAAAGTATTACACAAAAGTCAGTACCTAAGTTCTCAAACCAAGTTTGTTACTTTCCAATGTTACCTCTTCTAAAAAAATTAATGTCTGGTTAATGACTGTCTATTATAGGTAGTTTATTCTGGTTAAACTACTTATACTGTTTGTTAGTTAGTCCCATGTCAACCCCTGATTGTTTCACTTTTGTGTCAACTAGCTAGTGGTAATGTAGATGTGGCGAACTAATTGGCTAACAAGCATTCACATTTCAACTTTTACATTGCAAGTCTGAATCCCCCCCATTTATTATCCTTTATGTGCACGGATAGCCTAGTTACTCACAAAATTTGGTTTCATACTGAGTACATGGGTCTGTGCTCGATGTCTACTTTAATCATCGGTAAAGATGTATGAGTACTGACTTTTCTCACTGAAGCAGGTTAAATGATGGGTGACAAAGTTCACTTTAGCCTTCACATACTCACACCCTCTCTCTTCAATTCCTACTATTCCTTCTACATCGACTTTCAACTATAAACATCTTTTGATTTCCTCCTCAAGTGTCACCGTGACCAAGGATTCTAGTGCGCGCAACACTGCCCCAGGTCTACTGAAACCTCGCTCCAAACTACACATCGGAGCCTTCAAAGTACATACTCTGTCAAATCGGCCAACAGGCCTCCTCGGTTAAAACCCTCGAGTCTCGTACCACTGATGTATCCCTGTTAATAGTCTCCCATGTGCTGTTTGGCTAAACGGCTTCGTAAAAACTCGGAAGGATAGGGAAACACGTCGTTGCCTTTTCGTCATTTCTGCCTACGTTCCCACTGTATTTTATTTTATTCGAACACATAAATATTGGTATATAAGGGCACCGAATACATATGCGCCACACAAGTCACTTGATTTATGTGTGGGCCGTAATACTGCCCGGGTAGGTGGCTTAAACCGAACAGAAAGACATTTTGGTGGGTATTTTAGTATTCCGGCTCAGCGAACAGATAATGCTGATTGTCTGCTGCAACTGTGCTCAGACAATCGTTTAGTTTTAGGAAACTAATTTTAAGCATAAGGAGAGACATTGTTTAACATGGCGACCCCCTGCACCAAACCAACGATGGACTCAAATAGACCATATTGCCACTATTCATCGTTGGAGAGGGTTGATAGAAGACTGCCACTCATTCTGGAATATACATTTGGACTCTGATCATGCTGTAGTACGAGCACGAATTTGCTTGCGCCTCACTCGACGCAGAAAAACCACATTAAAAAGACCTATTAGAGTTGAACTCAGTGTCGAGAAAGCCAAAAGTAAATTTCAGGGACAACTGAGGTCACACTTAGACAGTTCAAAAAACGAGGCTGACCCAGATATTGCGAGGAACGATATACAAACAGCTGTGGAAACAGCAGCGACATCTATTGGTAATTTGAATAAAAGGGTTGCGAAAAAGCAATGGATTTCTACTAAGTCTGTTGCACTGATAGATTGTCTCAGTCTGGTTTCGTCTGTATCACATCCATTTGTTATGAAAATTAGGAGGATAACTGTAGTACATTTCCTTTTTCTAACACAAAGTAAAACTATCTTTCTGATTTTACGATTCCTTTTTCTATGGTTAAAAGAATATTAACTTTATTAATTAAGTATTCTTTGTTAAAATAACTCAAAATTTACCAGTAATAGTTTGGTATAGTCCTTTCAAAGGCGTTCATAAAACTTTTTCAGTGTAACAAGGAATGTTTTATCAAAAATAGGCTATATATATAACTTTATTTACTTGAAAGTACTCTTACTTTAGGTGAATGGAGTTGATGTCTCTTGAACAGAATATGTTTCCTAACAGTGATGATTGCAGTATGTTATTCCTATTTGTGAAGTATATTTTAACCAGACAATGGTTCAGCCAATCAAGATAGTGTACCTGCTATCCACGTAGATGATGTACAACGTATGGAGGCTCGTCTTTTAAAGTTGTTGGATGAATTTAACGCTGGGAAATCATCCTTTGGTAATGAACTGTCACTCTTATTCAGTAAAAATATAGGTCCAAATTGTCCTTATGAAAAACTTGATTCAATACGAAATCAGCAGGAAGAACTTATGCGATTGCATTTTGAGCAAGATAGGAAAATGATGTCGATCCTCGAAACAGGCTCAACTCTCGCGCGGCGTCCTGTTAGAGCGTAATTAACTATTGTTGAGATTATTCTTATAGACTTTTAACGGACGAAGGTCGGAAGACTACCAAAGCAAACATTGATGCACTAGTCACACGAGTAAGTATGTGTGCATTCTGCGTTTTATACGACTTCCTATTTTAACTTAAACGTATCCGTCTTTTGGCTCTACTTCTTTATTCATCCTGTCTGCTAGTTTTTTGTTATATATCCCAACCATTTTTCTTCATATATTATGCGATATTAGGACTTCATTATTCAACTTATAGAATCATTTGCCGTGCTAATTATTAGTGATCTTCAGGATTCACCATTCATATATCTTATTGCATCACGATTCCTTGTCTTATCTGTTGTGTCTTAAATCAGGGAAACGAATAATATTCCCTTTGGATTTCATTTCTTAGAATTGCAAAGGTCTAAAAACCTACTGAAATAACATTTTTTTATTTGAACTTCATTTCTAATTCGTTTAGACTTCTGATTTACATCTAATTGTTCATGAATTGCAGTCTATTCCATCTGCTTTGGTTTTTAGAGTCAAGTGCTATTTATTCATGTAATTTTGTAGTAGTAACTGTTATCGTCTCTTTTAATCAATTAAATGCATTATTTAATCTTCTGGCTGAAAGGTTATGCAGCAAACAATTAGAAACTGAGTATGTTATATGTAGGTAATTTTCCCCAATCTCTTAAAAAGTTTAGTCGCTAAAAACTAGGAAAAATCATTCATGTAAAAGTTTGAATTGCCTCACCTATTTGAGTTTTGGCAGTTAAACACTGTAACCTCACGCCAACAGTGTGACTCAGTGGTAAGTATATGAACCTGTTTTTATTTTTAGTTAAACACAAATATTGGTACAAGAAGTCACCAAATATATATATGCACCACACAAATCAAATGATTTCTGTGAGGGCTGGGATACTCCACGGGCTCACAGACCAAAGCAAGCGGTTTTCTGAGGGGGTCACTCCCCGAGCCTTTGAGCTAAATGTCAAATTCACAAGGCAGTGGAGCAACGTTAGGAGACGCAGTCCCATGGTAGCCCGTGACCAACAATAGGTTCGTTTGTTTTTTGTGGATCCTCCGTATCCATCAACCCGGCTAAAGCGCCGGACATTCGCTTTTCGTCCTTTTAATTTCGTAGACATCACCCCCCCCCTCGAGAAGGCAGTAAGTAGGACCTGTACTTGGTAAGCAAGCAATGTTTATTATTAGCATATCACCAGTCTTTAAATTTCTGTCGTTTATATATATATTCAATTATTGTTCGAAACAAAAGATATATTAAGGTAGCATACAGTACATCCCGTTCTTTTAATTTCTACCTCGCCTTGGGACCGTGTGAAAACAAGTGAGATCGGCGCATTACTTTATATTTCCTAGCGATTTGCAGTTGTATCGGGTTAACATTTGTCAGTGGATCAAAATTTCCTAGTTGGCTTTTGAAGATCATGTGACTCAGTTATTCAAAATGTTAGATCTGGTTCGAAGCAAAATGTAGGAAGCAATGTGCTTTTTTTCTCTTGGTGGCGTCAAAAGAATCCAAGGTCGCCTCAACTCTTTTTATGGTGATTCGATTATTTTTGGTAATCACTGTTACTGTCATTCATTTGTTACCTGACAAGTAGCTGTCACTATTCTGGTTGAATGAAAGCATTTGCCTCCTTACTCAAATCCAGATATACCAACTCAGTTGCCCGGTGGTTTTGTTTCTTGAAATCTGTTTGGTTGGAGGTTCAGGTCTCAGTGAGTTATTAACCCGTCAAACTCAGTCACTGCATTATTTACTCAAAGCAAACAATCGTAAAAATTACTGTTCTATCTTATCTCTCGTCATACCATTCTATGAATTTAATTGTAATATGTTTATTTTGTTACTCAGTAAGAAAATCCAATTATCTTTTAATCGTGATCGATGTATTATCTCACTGTTTTTTTTAGCTGGAGTCTCTGAGTTATGCAATGTAAGTTAATTTATCCTACTTTTATTATCAATGTTAGAATCAATATATAGATTGTATATCAGTTTCGTTGTTTTGCCTCATATGATTTTGTTTCATCGAGTTATTCATATTTATTTTCTCGAAATTCCAAGTTCTGAACTACATTAATGGCAGAGTTTAAATACGATTTCATTTTTACTTACTGAGGCTGACTGCCTCCGTTTGTTCAATGTTTTTCATACAAGATGGGTCTTTGAACCCGAATTTCTCATATCAAGATGTCTTAAATTATATCATGTTCCTCCATTTAAAGGCGCTGTTAAACTCCATCAATCGAAATGTTTGATAGCGCGATCGGTCACTGAATAAGTGCCTTAGTCGTTTGTCGAATCGCTATAGTTCTCATGGATGCGTGATGGTCTCTCTATCGTGTTGGGTAATTATCTCGATATTTTGATGAGATTTTGTCTTTTGGGAAACAGAACTTCACTTGACTTTCACAGTATTTCAAATCTATCTCTAGCGTATCTCGGGATTCCATCACATACGTAAATTAGGATTAGGTTTTGTCTTTTTCTCATATGTGAAAATGATTTAATACTCTGCATCCAATACATATTTTATGGTGAATATTTATTTCAATTTTCCTTTCAGACATAATCTTCACTATGCCAATAGACCTCGATCGTAACATTCGGAAAATTTTGTCCAACAAGAAGTATTATTCCTCTGATTTATATTTTATCTTCTAAAGTTGTCAGTTAATTAGTAGTGATAACTAATGTAACTTTGAGAATTTCAACAGCATTGACTATCGAGTTTTAGATTATGACCAGAATGAGGTCACGAAATGATCATGCGTAAATTGTTAGTTATTTGCCGTTCCAACTGTCGTCTGCTTTACATAAATGTAACGAGAAATTTCTTAGCAGAATGGATTTAATTCATTAATTAATTATTACTTAGTAACTCAGCTTTCAGTGACTTAAGCGTAATGGGATTCTTTCCCCCAACTAGACTCAGCGCAGCACTTTGGCTGTTAATTACCCATAAGCATACAAAGCTAGACACAAGGAAGAAAACATGAATAAATATACATTTCGTAATTACAAAGCAGAGCAACTAGTATCCAACATTTACACGATCTCTTAAAAATGTACTTAATTTAGCATTTATCGTTGTACAGAGATTAATGAATAGAAATGTAGTGACTGATTGTATTGTGAAATATCTGTATCATAAAATTATTATCTGCCCTCTTCAGACAAATAATCTTAAATGACATAAAAACATGTGAGAGTATTAACGTTATGAAATGTGATGATTACAATAACCAAGATGGCAGGAATCAAGCCTCATCAAAAGTTAAGTAGGAGAGTTTGTTGATGGAGTTACCATTTTAAATTTCCATCATTTGTATCGCAGTCAACATAAATGTTTTTGGTATACTGTTCTTTCACGTAAATAGTTTCATGGTCGGTGTTCAGTATATTTTGCGATTGTATATTTACTCGACCCCACTCATGACTTTAAAAAAGTAATACACTTGGACAATGCGTAACTGAGATCTTAAGTAACATAAGAGAACTGCCCTTTGTTACAATGCATAGTGAAGCCAACTTTTTTTCTCGTCTCTTTAAATATAATTTTCTCGATCGGGAAATGGTAGGGGAATAATTACATCTCATTAAAATATATCATATCTCAACACATCCAATCATCTCTGTAATGCGTTTGCTGGGAAATATCGTAAACACAAAATGAATACTGCATTCTTGTAATTAAGGATAGTTAATCGACCACGATCCTTACCAGTGTATTTCCTAAACATTATTTTGTAGTGGTCTATAGGCCTTTACAACTTGAATCCTTGTTAGCAACTCATATGGTGACTTTAAATATAACACGGCACATATATGCATCAAAATGTAAGGAATTTTGCAGAAACCTCAGGAAAATGGCTTTTATTCATCCATAAATATTCTTTTTTGAAGAAAATGCTATTGTCGAGCTATTAGTAAAACGGACCTTAAATTTATTCTCTTTAGTGTCAACCGTTTTTTTTAAGGCGGCAGCAGTCCGCTGTGCTTTCTGTATTTGGAACAGGACCTTCAAATCTACATATACTCGTTAAAATAGTATTCGATTTTAGGGGTTTCCGAAGCACTTCTTGTATATTTTGGGACTATTGATCCAGCACTTCTGAGTACTAGGTATTACAAATCGGTTGATGAGGCAGCGATGAATCTCTGTTGGTTGAGATGGTTAGGACATGTATTAAGCATTCCCATCTTCTAACTGCATCGACGTACGATGATAGCTGGTGTAGGACTAGGCTAGACTCAGTTATGTAAGCAGGTGCAGCCTAACTAGTTGAGGTCCCAGTGATTATCGTAACCCATGTTTAAAAACGTTGGATAACATGGTTCAAGATCGTTAGTATTAACGCAGAGGTATCCACTCCTTGTTGTCCTTCAAATCTTGGCTTTCTAATTTCCCCAAGTTTCTCCTTACTACTTCACATTTTTTTGAACGCCAACCTTTATATCCAATATTTTCCATTATCACTAATATAATTAAAATAGCAGTGTGTCACTGAACAAAAATGAATGGGATTCGGCGAAGGTTTCCTTTTGGACGAAATCACTTACTTAAACTGTACATTCGTATTTATGATTGTATCGTAAATGTATGTCTATAGAAGATAGGAAAAATTGATTCGAAACTCAAGTAAGGTGACGTAATAACTAGGGGGGTTGGAGAAGCATATAACGAAGATAGTGTACAGGTCAGAATTATGGGAGACAATTGTCCACTTTACAGATATGAAGAAAAACGGAAAACATAAAGGTCATAATAATTGGATTATAATCATGAGAAATTGTTAAAGGATAATAATGACTGGTCAAGGTTTAAGATTGCAAAACATTAATAAAAAGGAACCAAAACAAACTACAAAAGAGAATTAGAGCCAAGAAAGGAAGAGAGGCTGAATGTGTCGTTTTAGAACACAGAGTTCGGGCTTGAATTGGTGGATCGCTAACGCCTCAGCGGTGCATGAGTTTTTGATTTGATGTGCACAGAGTTGATTAGATGCTCCTGTATCGAACTAGTAATTGTTTTGCATTCACTTTCTTCCCTCAAGGATCAGGCAAATATGTCCCAATGACAATAGATAACAAACTACTTCAACTTCGACAGATATTCATTAGAAATGGCTACCCACTTAAATTCTTCGATAGAAACTTAAAAACGTGTATGATGTCCCACTTAATATCAAGGGCTCGACGAGTGAACCCTATGTTTAAAGACATGTCCATTGTCGTTCCCATACTGTCGGATTGCGTAGAAACCCCCCTTACCAGTTCGGAGTTAGTCACCAACTTTTCCAATTTGAAACATCAGTCCGTCCAATTGTACAGATCTTTCCGCATCTTCGTTGGTAAAGAATGCTAGGCAATCGTCCACGTGGTGCACCACGCTGCTATCATAGCCATTAGAGGATATTTGAGGCGTTTTTACCGATGCAAAGTTCGCATAGATGTGGGAGAACACTGCGTCGAAAGGGTGTGATGTCATATAATATTCCACAGGTTCGTTCCCGAAATGATTATTGTTATTACTAATGGCTTTATTTAATATTATATTTTGGTACAATATAGGATTCCCAGCCAGTCAGTCAGCTGCAACGTAGGACCAGGCACATATATGCATCGGTCCAAGTTGCCATACCTCATTAGCACAACAAGATGAACACCGGATTCATAGAAGTAGTTGATTCAGTGGTGGTAATATATAAAAGAAAGATTACATATAAAGAGATAGTACAGGGAGATAGAATTAGTTCGTAGAAAGAAAGATACGAAGCGATTTTATTCTCTTAGTTTAAAGGAAGACAGAGAGTATATACACCGACGCCCTTGTGATCGATTCTGAGCCATGCTACCAAGAATCCCCAACCATTGGTTACGATAGTCACACGGACCCCAACCAGGTAGTCTGAATCTACCAACATGGCTCAGACCAGAAGTTAGTGACTTCAAGCACTGGTGCCGCGTTTTGGTTTGGCCGCCTCTAACTTTCTTCCAATCATCCCTAACACCGGTTAGCATTGCGCGTCGTGGTAATCGGTGTTCAGGCATACGTAGCACGTGGCCTGACCATCTCAGTCGATGAAGATTCATAACCTCATCAACTGATTTACCATCCTTCCCTAATACCCTGCGTCTAACCTCACTATTACTTACCTGGTGATACCAGCAATATTTCTAAGGCACCTGTGGTCAAATACTAGTAACTTACGAGTATCTTCGACTCTTAAAGGCCATGTTTCACAGCCGTATAGTAGAACGGAACAATGTCATCTGCGTATTCTAAGTCAATAAGTGGACATCCTGGTAGGAGATGGGCGCCCGAGAATTCAGTCGATGAGAGCGTTATTTCCATCAGTAGATCTATGATGAAGTTAAACACAAATGGAGAAAGTGGACAGCCTTGACGGACACCACTTGAGGTTGCAAAAGCAGATGACAGTTCGCCATAAGCTCTGACGCGACTAATAGTGTTCGAGTAAAGAGCCTTCATAAGGTTTATGTACTTCTGAGGTACGCCTTTCAATGACAGACACTGCCACAGAACCTCTCGGTCAACAGAGTCAAACGCTGCTTTTAAATCAAGGAAGACCACTATTGTCGGACGCCGATAAGTATGCCTGTGTTCTAGAACCTGACGAATAGTGAATATGTGGTCGATGCAGCCACGACCAGGTCTGAAGCCAGCCTGATTCTTTCGTGTTTGCAGTTCACGAGTCTTAGTTAGGCGTCCGAAAATTACCGAGGCTAGTATTTTAGATACTATATTAGTTAAACTAATCCCTCTGTGATTGTCACAGGATGATTTTGATCCTTTCTTAAATATTGGGACGATAAGTGATTGTGACCAGTTAGATGGGATAACGTCTAACTCCCAGATTTTAGCTAAAATATTAGTCAACCTAATCGCTAAAACTAGACCACCATCCTTAAAGACCTCTGGGGCCAATCCATCTGGACCAGCTGCCCTTCCTCGTTTCAGATTAGCTATAGCCTTTTGAACTTTAGCTAGAGTTGGGGGACCTACTTCAATATTCCATTCACACTGTCTGGAAATAGAGGGTAGTTGTAGAGTAGCTGAAGGCCAGCTAGACTGCTCCTCAAAGTGTTCCGCCCATCGTTCTAAACGTCTGGACTGGGGGCAGATGAGAGTGTCGTCTTTTTCCGAAATAGTCTGACTTACACTTGATTTATTAATTCCAGTTTCTTTTATTAGTCTGTAGAGTTGTCTTGTATTCCCTATAGCCGCAGCCTCTTCCATCTCTTTTGCTTTCGTTGCCCACCACTGCTCACGGTCCTTCCTTAGACTTTTGCTTAACCTAGATCTGATTTCTTTACGCTCTTCATCGTATTCAAAACCTGATGGGATGAGTTTGCAAGAATCTATCAGTGTAATAGACCTTGAAGAAATCCATTGGTTCTTTGTAACCCTGTGGTTTGAATCACTAGTAGATGTCATTGCTGTTTCCACAGCTGCTTGTATACCTTTCCAAGCAACATCTGGGTCAGCCTCGTTTTCAGAACTACCTAAGTGTGACCTCAGTTGTTCTTGGAACCTACGTTTGGTTTTCTCGTTAATGCAGTTCTAATGAGTGTTTTT